GGGTTCTGGAGGGCAGTTAGGAGCAGGGGTCCCAGGAGGGGCAGTCAGGGGACAAGGAACAGGGAGGCTTAGATAGGGGGTGGGGTTCTGGAGGGCAGTTAGGAGCAGGGGTCCCAGGAGGGGCAGTCAGGGGACAAGGAGCAGGGGGAGGGTTGGGTGTCCTGAGGGGGGGGAAGTAGGAGGGATAGGGGCGGGGCTAGGGCAGGATGGGGCGGGGCTAGGGCGGGGCTCCTCCCGTCCTCTTTTTTGCTTGCTGAAATATGGTAACCCCCCTCCAGCTACCTGCCTCCCCTTGTACCCTACAGACTGCCCTGGTTTGTGGCCCAGTACAATTATTAACAAAGAATTGTCAGGTGCTTCAGAGGGAATGAACAGAACAGAACAGTATACATGCTCCGGGGGGAGTGGGAAGGGGGGCACAAGGTGGAGGTTTCGCCTAGGGTGCAAAATATCCTTGCACCGGCCCTGTTTGTGTGTCCCCTCCCAGAGACAACCCACCAGTTTGCACATTACACTCTCAGTGGCCTTGGAACCTATTGTCATTTTTCTGCTTTTCTTGCCAGGAGTAACCCTTCTGCCAGGTGGAGTTGGCAGCCACCAGGGCCGGGTTCAATACGTAGGGGTTCCAATACAAAACCGAACCGACTGGAGCCCCCTGTGATGCTGTGCTCCATATGCTTTATGGAAATATGCTCATGAATATGACATAACTGGAATATGCTTTACCCTAAATACCCCTGTATAGTGTCTTTAGAAAATTTTAATCTACTAAGTGTGTTCATCCTATTTGTTTCCATTTAGTATTTCTATATCTGGAGTGTGGAGAATAAGATATAAACTTGTATCAATGATGTAAACATATTAAGTGGAGGCCAATAAGGGTGCTCCAGAAACAATCAGTTGTAAACGGCCTTAGTTACTTTTGAAAGCCTCCCTGTGTATGTGTGGGCCAGCCCATGGGTAGGTAAACAGGGTCGTAAACTGGGGCCTCCTCTCCTCGCTTCTGTCCTCTGGCTGGAACCAGCCCATGGGGAATGGAGACTAGGGGTCTTACAGTGACATGTGACCATGTCACCTGATAATGAAATCCATTTTAAATCTGGTACTTTTCCATTTAGAAGGAGGGATGAGGACCCAGAGAGACAAAAGATTCCTGCCTTGTGCCAAAGCTATAAAATGGCGTGGAGCAGGACAAAGCGCTGCCGGTCATGAGAAAACCCCTGCTTACCACCTGAGATGTCTGCTGGGTATAACAAAGACTGTACCGAGGAAAGGATTGGGCCCAGACTAGGAAGGAGTCTAATTTTTGAGGGTGAGATATTACCTGTAATCAAAAACAATGAGGAGTCTGGTGGCATCTTAAGCACTAAAAAATTTATTTGGGCATAAGCTTTCGTGGGTAAAAAAACCCATTTCTTCAGATGCAAGTGGTTTTTTACCCACTAAAGCTTATGCCCAAATGTGACGAAGTGGGGAATTTTCTTGTTTTCTGTGGGTTTCCAATGGTTTGCATGCGGAAGGGGTGGGACTCAGTTTCCCTGGGTGTTACTGGTTTAACGAGGGGAGGGGAGAGGGAGTTTGTGGTTACAGAGGACCGGAGAGGGAACTTGGGACCCCAGCCAATGGCCTGGAGGGCGGAGACCCCAGCGACGGGTGACCTAATGACCTCGAGACCCATCTCAGGAGTCACAGCCGGTTCTGGCTGGTGGGAGGACAATGGGCTGCAGAGAGAGGACCCAGTGACCTAACCAGCCGGTTCCAGCCAGAGGACAGAAGCGACGAGAGTAGGTCCCAGTTTACGACCCTGTTTACCTGGAGAGAAGACAATGGACCGAGGCGGAGCTTGGGACTGGGGATATCAGATGCCCAGCTGGGAGCAGGGGGGCTCAGGGCTGGAGAGGGGGAGCAGGCAGAGCCCACCTGGATGCAGAGAGACTGGGATGTGTTGGGCTGAGGGAGGCCAGGCCTGAGGCCCTGAGTTTCCTGTGCTGTGTTCAACTCTCAATAAACCCTCCTGTTTTACGCTGGCTGAGAATCACTCCGGTCTAGAGAACAGGGTTGCATCAACCCCTTTGAGGGTGGAGGCCCGGGGGATCCAGAGTGAGTGGACTCCTTGAGGGGACCCACGTCAAGACACAGGTGTGCGAAGGCTCAGAGGTGCGGCTCCAGGAGGTGGAGAGGCCTGACCCCGAGAGAGAGTGGACCCCCGAGAAGGGCTGTCTCACTGAAAGGGGTTTCCCCCACGGACCGCACGGGGCCAAGAGTGGGCACGATCTGTGAGTCCGTGACACCAAATAAATCTATTAGTCTTTAAGGTGCCACTGGACTCCTCATTGTTTTTGTGGACACAGACTAACACGGCTACCGCTTGATACTTGAAACCTGTAATCAGTATCTGAATGTATTAGGCTTAGACTTGCGTGTTTTGTTTTATTTTCCTTTGTGACTTACTTTGTTCTGGCTCTTATTACTTGAAACCACTTAAATCCTATTCTTTATACTTAATAAATTACTTTTGTTTATTAATAAACCCAGAGTAAGTGATTAATACCTGGGGGAGCAAACAGCTGTGCATATCTCTCTATCAGTGATACAGAGGGCAAACAATTTACAAATGTATCCTGTATAAGCTTTATACAGAGTAAAAGAGATGTATTTGGGGTTTGGATCCCATTGGAAGCTGGGTGTCTGGGTGCTGGAGATAGGTAACCTGCTGAGCTGTTTTTAGTTCAAGTCTGCAGCTTTGGGGGCGTGGACCAGACCCTGGGTCTGCGTTGCAGCAGGCTAGCGTGTCTGGCTCAACAAGGCAGGGTTCTGGAGTCCCAAGCTGGCAGGGAAAATGGGCTCAGAGGTAATTTCAGCACATCAGGTGACAGTCCCAAGGGGATCTCTGTGACCGAACCTGTCACAGCCCCAGCCAGTAATCTGGGAAAACGTCAGACCACCCCAGGCGCCTCTAAGAGGCAATACATTCCTTGCCACAAGCACTGAGTCTGTGTAAAACGAAGAGAACTTTTAATAAAAAGGGGAAAGGAATCTGACATTAATCTGAGAAACCCCACAGCCATGATTCAAAAGCTTGGGACCCTGCCTAAGGCTAAGATATTTTTAGTAAAAATCACAGACAGCTCGAAGGCAATAAAAAATTCACAGAAGCCTGTGACTTGTACTGACTTTCACTAAAAATATACTGCCAAAACGGGGAGGCGGGTTCAGCTCTGCGCCTACTGCTGCTGGACCTGCGGGGTCCCGCAGGCCACTGCGGTGAGTGGGAGCTTCGAAGTCCCCCGCTCCCCATGGCAGCTGAGCAGTTGTGGGGGAATACCTCTGCCTGCAGCAGCAGGGAGCACCCATCCCCTGCCACCTGCGACAAGTGGGAGGTCGAGGGTCCCCCACTGCCCA